CTTCTAAGTTCTGGGTCCTATAACCTCAGATGGTTGGGTTGAGTGAATGGGAAGACAGATATTTAATGTGTGTTTGGGGAGAAGAGGGTGGGGAATATGGGCTCCCAGTGTCCTTCAGATTTTTGCACTTCTGCATCTCTCACCTCTACAACTTGACCTTCATTGGAGAAATTTAAGATGATTTATTCCTGGAACAAGATCACATAGAGGCTTCTAGCCTTGTCAGCCTGCTCTCTTCTGAGGTTTGGACTTTGTTTCAAATTCTGTCTGGGGTAAGCCTGGGGCTCGATCCCTTGTATTGGAGATAATGGGACTGGCACTGACTGGTCAGCCTCTGGGCAGGCCGCATTTCTAGTCATGCCCATCAGTTAAGCTCTGCCAATGTCTGTGCACAGACTGCTTATCTAGTCATTTTGTCCCGTCAAGCCATGTAAGCTGACCATAACGGGATGACTGAGGCCATAATGAAAATACATTTCTTAGATTTATGGACTATTATGTGATAGAAGGTTGGGTAATAGAGAAGGTAAGATGGAGAGCAGGTGATGGCAGCCTGGATTGCTCAGTTGGTTAAGTGTCTGCCTTTGGCTCAGTCATGATTCTGGGGTTCTGGAATTGAGCCCCAAGCCAGGCTCCCTGATGAGCGGGGAGTCTGCTTCTCTCTCTGTCTCTACCCCCCCCCTCCTCCTGCTCATGGTCTCGTTCTCTCAAATAAAATCTTTAAAAACGTGTGGAAAGCAGGTGAAAAACTTTATAGTTACTTTTAGAGAGATCATAAGTGGTAGAACCTAGTTTTCCAGAAAAAAGGTTCTTAAAATTATTTCAAGTATAGCTCTAAGTCATTTGAAATACTGTGTCAGTAATACTGGAAATACAGTGTTCAAGTAGCTGAGCCCTTGTGCTGACCTTGAATTTATAATAGGGAGGCAGGACCTACTTCAATGAACTAGTTACAGTTAATAAACAGTGCTAGGGTAGTGGAAGATAAGGAAGAGGCAGCTCCACTAGTTAAAACTTTCTGGAGATGGAATTTGTTTGGAAAATTGACTTGGCACAGAAAGAATGACTGGTGGTGTTGGCTCTAAAGTCACAGGTTTCCTGAGTTTGAATTGTCACTACTTAGCTGTGTGATTTTGGACATGTCAGGAACTTTCGTTTTTTATCTATAAAATGAAGGTTTGAACACTTGCTAAATAAGCACTGTTAAAAGTGCTTTTCACAAAGGAATTACATTTGCTCTTCATTGCAGCCCAAATGCCAATTAAGTATTTTGAAACCTCTTTTATAAATAGGGAAATTGAGGCTATAGGTTAAGTAACTTAAGATCATATGGTTAGAAAGTAGATCAAGGGATTGAATCAGTATTTTGAATCGAATTATTGAGGACTTTGCTTGTAATCATTTATAATACTGTGGAAGGATCAAATAACACAGGACAAGTGTAGGACCTTATATATAGCCACTGCTCATTAAAAATGCTAGCTATCTCATAGAGTTAGAACATTCTGAAGAGATTGGGGGGGGGCCTAGTGGAGCAAATATCCGAGCAAAGGACTTTGATGTAGCTCTGAGTGCAGCACATATGAATAACAGTGAAGCAGTGTATTTTTAAATGAGTGGTACCTAGGAGTGAAGTTGGCCACGGACCACACCAGTTTTTGTTACCTCCAGTCTCCAGCAACACTTCAGTGTCCTGAGATCAGATTCTCCTTGAGTATAGAAAAGAAAGGTATGAGGATAGGGAAAAGATGGTAAGGGGAGGGTAATCGAGTATAGCTGGCAGTGGGATTTGGAGGTTTAGAAAGCCTGCTTGACTGGCCTAGTCAAGGCAGGCCAGTCTGAACATCCCTGGCAAATACTGGTTTTTAATTTGAACTCTTAACTAAAACAGTAACTCGTTTCTGGACAGGAGCCAGAGTTATTAATGTGTATAAATTATATATATTCACCCACAAGGGTGTGGAAGTAGTAATAGATTGTTTGTTCACATTTGAATGGTTTTCACTGACATCAGTGTTCCTTCCTAAGTTTGGACTTTCCCCTCATTTCCCTTTCAAGAGTCCAGGCTTCAGGCACTTGTCTTTTCAAAATCTGCAGTCAGAATGTATATTTATGCTTGGCTATGACATGCAGCTTTCTAGATGACTTTGGACAAATCACTTTACCTTTTAGGTGCTTGGCAACTTGATCAACAAACTAAGAAATCTCCCAAATGACATCTAAAGTGTTCTGGACAAGGTGTTTTTAAAACACTGCATTCAATCCTATTTTGGATTGTTGGGTTGGTAAGGTTAGAGGTTTTGGACCAGATGTCTTTAATTTATAAGCCTTAATGGTTTTTAAGGAACAAATACTAAGCTTCTTTAGTACTCAGTAAAATAGAGTTGGATAGGTGAACATCATGGAGGTGGTTGAACTACTCAGATCTTTCTACGTAAAGCATTTTGCAGCATTTGTCAAGCTGGTAATCTTGGTAATCAATTTTAGTATATGTGCTGCCGAAGCGAGCACTAATCTTGGTAATCAAAAGCTGTAGTGTAGGTTACCCCCCTGGCTTTTGGGCATCTGCTTTTTCTGTTTAGGGAGACTGGAAAGCGTAATAGGTGATGAGGGTAAACGTGTTTGATTTTAGAACTAAGTGTCCATGGTCTTAGCTGATATTGACTGAAAATCCAAAGTATTTCTCCTTTTGGTTTCTAAGAAGTCTTGCATTCATTCCCCCCCCCATGTTAAGTCAACAAATAATTGAGTACCTACCATGTTCCAGGTGCAGCTCTAACACTGAGGATAGAGAAGGGAAGAAGAAAAAGTCCCTGCCCTTGCACAAGTATTTGATGGGGGAGGGGGGTAAGAGGTAGAACAAAATGGAATGAACACATAGGATTTCAAGTGGTGGTAAGTATTTGGAAAAATAACATGAAGTCATGGGATGAAGTTTCAAGGTAGGGTTGGAGTAGGAGGGATGTTTTTGGTTGGGGTGGTCACCGAAGTACCTGGAGAAAGAATATTCCAGTCTAAATGAACTTGAAACAAAAAGGCCAGTGTACTGGAGCATGGTTGGGGTTTGGAGTGTTTGGGGTGGAACAATGTGTTGGGGGTGGGTTTAAGAAATTGGGAGATTCTGGCAAGAACCAGATCAGATAGGGTGAGTTTGAAAATTCCAATTTTAGTGGGTTTTAAGGAGCAGGAGGGGATGATTGAATGCATTTATTCAGTTGGATGAGCTTGCAAAATGAAACAAATATAACTCCATCTTAAAGGCTTTCAGAAGGTAAATAATTAGATTGAGGGTGGGGGTGGGGCGGGGGTGGGGCTGTGGTCTGCAAATCGGTATAGATTGTGATCCTGAGATTTATATTCCCAGTCCTCTCCCCTTTGGACCTGGAGAGATTCTTAGAGTGAGTGGATCTCATCTGCTTTGGTATTCTGGAAGAAAGTTATCTCCAGGGCTGTTGGGACACACAAAGTTTGGAAGATCAAACTGAAAGGAGCTGAGAGGATTTCTATACCAGATGCATTTCCCTGCAGATTGAGTGGTGACCCTCACCTGATGGCTGGCCACCTCAAAAGGGCACACACAGCTGACTAACATGGAATTGATTTTCATCACTGATTATATGGCCTTTACTCAGTCTCAGAATATCAGCGTCCACAATGAAAATGGACCAAGATTAGTGACCACCACATCTGTAAATGTCATATTTCGATGATTTTAGGTCCTTCGCTCTTCCCACCCTAGATTAGTCTTGACCAGTTTTTCACCATTTGATTTCTGAGTCATGTCCTTTGATTCCTGAGTCATGTCCGGTTTTAAAATTCATTTCCGTAACTTTGCCTCCTCTTTATGGCCCCCACCCCCTTTTCTGGGGCTGCTTTGGACGGTCGTATATCATCTCTACTCATGATCCCTTCCTCATATATAATTCACTGCTTTTTGTGTTTTAAGTTCTTTAATCTATCGCCCCCCCCCCCTTAACTCCCTCCTCAAAAGCTGCCTCGCAAAAAAGGGTCATTGCTTGCTCACTGAATATGGGATTACATGAAGATCCAAAGGATGAGAAAGAAAATGTGATGAGGGAGACAGACGCTCCGGAGAATGCTGTTTTGATTGTATTTTGTTTATAGATGGATGTGACTAGGCTTTTTTAAGGTCCGTTCTAGGAGTTTAAACCTACAGCTCTGGCTGATGGTGCCCAATAAAATAAAACAAAAAACTTTGCTGCTCCAGTTTTTTCTCAGGGCGGGGTGGGGGCGTTTTCAATATCCAAGGTCTTACAGAGAAGCCGTTTCTTCATTTTGGACCCACCCCGGGAGGATGGTTCCGCGCGGGAGCTGGTCTCAGCGCCTCCTGAGTAACGCAACTTCCAACCGGGCCAACTTCGGGGCCGTTATAACCTAGTTGAAGCTGCGCCCATTAACCGTTTCCAGAGTTCCTTTCACCACCTATGACCGTAGTTTGATTTTGGGGGAGCTCCGGGACTCCTAGGGCTACGGTGTGGATTCTTGGGCAAAGGACGAGGTTGGTTTTTCAGGTGGGGACGCTTCGTTATTTTTCTTACCTGGCGTTGGGGTCTGCGTAAACTATCGTTCGTAGCATCCTGGCTGCGAGGGGGTGGTGGTTGGGGAGTGGAGAAATTCGGAGAAGGCAGAATGGAGCGGGGGATACTGTCAGAATATACACGTGTCGGTGGCAAAACGTGGAAGCTTCACAAAATTGGCGCCATGAAACTAAAGACCGCCGCACCGGAGCTCCTGCCTGCTCCGCCTAATGGCGGGCCGCACCCCGCCGGCAAAGCCCACGTTTGTAGTTCCTCCCTCACGCCAATCTCTTGCCCAATCACTGGCTTCGGCTTCGCGAGATAGGCGCTCATTGGCATTCGTATAAAAGCTCCGGGGTTACTGACGTTTCCACCTCTTCCCGGCCTCTCAGGTAATTGGCGTTGGTGGTAACCAATCAGGAAGAGGATCTGCGGGAACGCCTGCCTTTAACTTAACTGAGCAGCCAATCCGGTGGTATACTCGCCTCCCCTTCTACCCAGAGTCACTGCTGCGGCCGCCGCCATTTTAGCGTTTTGTCAGAAGCGTCTGCGCCGCGAGGAAGAGCCCCTGCTGATTTCGGTGCGGGTGAGAGACTGAGCCCCTCCACTGTTTTTTTTTTTTTTCCCCCCCGTTAAATCTTATCTCACTCCTTTGGGCTTCAGGGGTATCCTAGTAGGTTCGCGGCCTCTGCACCCGTCTCTGAGAGCCGACCTCGGTGCTGGGCATTGCGCGGTAAGCCTGAAGCGGCCCTTCCCCCACGACATCCCCCGAGAATACCCTGCTTTCTCTCCACCTTGCCCTCTATCCGACTTGGCTCGGTTTCCTGCTTTTGAGGTTTCCATAGAGATAACCGCGCTTTCCTTAGACTCAGGAAAATTGAAACCCTTTTCGAGAATTTCTTGGGCCCTGAGACGTTGTCTGGCTGATGAGTCGGAAGCCCCCTTTTTTGGCCACGCATTTCCCCGTTCTGCAGGAGCTCTTAGGATGGCACCTCGGCAGAGGCGTTCCCCACTCCTGCACTTCCTGTACTGCCCTCATGCCTTGCTCTCTGTCCCGAATTGCCCGTTCACTGCTTCCAAAGAAAACCCTAAAACGTAGCTATTCCAAGGCCCACTTTTCCGGAAATGGTGGCCACTCGGTTGCGAGAGAAAGAGCTAATTGATAATTTCAGTAGTCAGTTCAGCCAGCCAGTAGTTAGACATTCGTTTTCTGACCTCCCAGTGGGTAGAGAAGCCCAGTATTCCTAGCCTTGCATGTATGTTGTTATTTTCGTTAGAAGCTTTTCAACTCTTAAATCCTTTGTGTACTGAGGACATTTCTGTTATAGACCTCATCTTATTCTTAGGGATTCTGCAGCTGGTACTGTAGCAGGCCTCCTTATTCCCACTTCCCTTTGATTTTTGTGTGGAGGTGGGTGTGTAAGAGAGAAGGAAGACTGGAAATGTTTGCTAGAGTCAAAGGAGATTGTAGGTGTTGGGGTTTTTTTGTTTTGTTTTTAAGCTGATGTGAGCCTTAGGTCTTTTGTTAGAAAAAAAATTTTTTTCATGCAGGCTACATCGAGATGGTTAAGCTGTTCATTGGAAACCTGCCCCGGGAGGCCACAGAGCAGGAGATCCGCTCACTCTTCGAGCAGTATGGGAAGGTGCTGGAGTGTGACATCATTAAGAACTACGGCTTTGTGCACATAGAGGACAAGACGGCAGCTGAGGATGCCATTCGCAACCTGCACCACTACAAGCTGCACGGGGTGAACATCAATGTGGAAGCCAGCAAGAATAAGAGCAAAACCTCCACAAAGTTACATGTGGGCAACATCAGTCCCACCTGTACCAACAAAGAGCTTCGGGCCAAGTTTGAGGAGTATGGTCCAGTCATCGAATGTGACATCGTGAAAGATTATGCCTTCGTGCACATGGAGCGGGCAGAGGATGCAGTGGAGGCCATCAGGGGCCTTGACAACACAGAGTTTCAAGGTGAACCACCCTCTTTGGGAAGAGGGTTGAACACAGGCTATGTGCAGAAAATAGGTTGGATAAGTAAGGGTGGGGCTTAGGGTATAGATGCAGCTGTTGGTGTTGATGGTGAAGCATTGTAGGTGATGGACTTAAAATGGAGAATTCATGGGATTTAAAGGCTTTATCTTAGGGCAGTGTCTGCACCACATGGCTTTAGTTTGGAACTCCTAAGGCTTTTATGCCTGTTAGCACAGAAATCCTTTCCTTTGATTTCCCTAGTTAGGTTTTTTTTTTTTTCCTCACCTTTTCTTATAAGTAGGTTCATTCTGAATTTACTGTCTCAGCCCAGTATCAACATTATGCTTTATTTTACATTTGAAGAACCTGGCAGAACTGTTCTAAGCAACATTTTTGGGAGCAGAATCCCTGTTAAGCTTCCCCTTAACCTCATCCCAACTCGTATAATCTCCCAGTAAAGATAACTAGTCACTAAATAGCTAGTTTTTAGATAAATGGTGTCTTTAAAGGGCTATTGCTCTTATTATGCTTCTACCAAGCTGTTCTGTTTTGACAGTAAGGCCACTCCAGAATAAAGGTCTGATTTTAGAAGTTTCTGAGGAGAAAGATATTGGGGGGCGATAATGGCAATGCCTTTTTACTATTTTAGAGGGTGGACTCTTAACATCTTTGGTGAATAGAGCACTTAGATGGGTGTTAACCTTAGAGCCTTGGTTAGGTTATTAGTGTGTCTGGAGGGCAGCATGAATGACGGTATGGATTGTCACTTTATTTGGAAGGTTTTATGTTTTCTTGGTTTAAGATCTGAGCTCCTATGGCAAGAGTGGCAGTCGGGAAGGGTGAGTGTGGTAACCATGGTGAGTTGCTATCTGTTCTCCCACCCCAACCCCTCCTTTCCCCTTTGTGTCCTCAGTATCAATAAAGCCTTTTCCCTTTGGTTGTTAACTATATTCAGGTTAAGAGGTACTCCCACAACTCCTTGCTACATTTTTAAAGTATATTCCAACCTTTTTAGCCTAGACAAGGTAGTTATTGCTTCTTTTCCTGAATACTGCTCTTGTTAAGAGTCATTGCTGCTGTTTGGGGTGTTTATTTCTCTTAAATTGAACCTTTCTTAGAGCTGGAGGTCCGATCATCATTCCCCCAAGTAATGGGTGCGTTGTGTCATGGGTATTGCTGTGCATTATTAAAGAAGAGTGTCCCCAGTCTCTCAGGTCTAGTTTGTTTTCCTTTTTTAATTGGTAAGTTGAGAATTATTTGCTGTCAGCAACTTAATTGGGGTCAAAGGCTGCTTTTGTGGAGGGTTTATGATGAGATACCTAATTTTTGGACACTCTTCTCCACCTTAACCAAGTCATAGAATGGGTGCTGTGTCTTTTTGTAGCAGTTACATATGTAAGGGGAGGTCAGTGTGTACTGATTCAGGACAACTTGTCCTTATGGTGTAACTCAGGGCTATGAACCTTAGGCTCTCTGGTGCTATTTATGCTTATTTATATTTTCACTATATTTCTTATTAGTCATTTTCCTTAGTTCTATTCAGTAGAGTTCTTTGTACGTGAAGTAGCAGAATTTATTAAAATGGTCTTCTATATCCTTTTGCTTTTCAGTGTTGGGTGTATTCTCTATTATTTGCTCATTTAAAAGACACCAGTTATATATGTTTTTAAAGACTTAGTTTCTTTTTCTAGCTTTGGAATAGATAATATCCTCAATCAGGGTGTTAGTTAATGACCTTATATCGTGAATGTGCAAGGTTAAGTTCCTTGGTTGCACTTGTTTTGCTCTGGTTTCGTTAGGTGCCAAAATGGTCCCCTGGGCAAATGCCAGAGGGACATGTGAGCACTTTAAAACGTTTAAGTACTTAATTGTGAATATAGCTCCTAACTTGCAATCTATTTACACTTACCAGATGCAGTATTTACAAGAGATTTTTGGGGGTAATTTGATCCTTCCAACCTCTTTTCCCTTTCCTAGCTTGCTAGGACTTTAATTTTGCTTGTGAAATTGTTTATTTACCGATTTCTGTAATGTTGGTTGAGTAGGTGACCTGTTGACTCTCTTGTACTTCTGACCATTCACTTTGATACCTGCATGTTTGGGTACATCATAGCCAATTGCCTTGGAAGTTTTTGCTGGAATTTTGCATATTGATAAATTGGTAGATCATGTTAGCTGGAAATTGTTCCTGTGAAAAGATTTATACCTTAAAACTTTTTTTTTTTTTTTTTTTAGATTTTATTTATTCGTTAGAGACTGAGGTAGAGGGAGAAGCAGGCTCTCTGCAGAGACTTGATCCCAGACCCTGGGATCATGCCCTGAATCAAAGGCAGACACTCAACCGCTGAGCCACCCAGGCATCCCAAACCTTAAACTTGCTGAAAAATTTCTTTTAAGTTTTTCGGAAGTAATACTTTTTATTTCCAGAATACAAACTAATTTTCAGCAGAAGATAATATTAACTGTGTATTCTTAGGCTCTTTGGATCCCTAGTTTAAGGAGAAAAAGTACTTTAATCTTGTTAAAGTGAATGCTTTGATACCCTAATATTACTGGTTATTCTCCATTTTTCTCATATCCCTTCCCCTTTTTCTTCCATGATTTTCATAATCTTTCTAAAAATTTAGGCATCTTGTGAATTACCTGTCCTGTTCCTTAGGAGGTTACTAAAGTTAGCTCTCAGATTGTAAAGAATCTTTGGTGGATTGAATATCAAGACCAGCAATTTTAAGGACTCCATTAACAGGGGAGGCAGTCCTTCAATGAGTATTGTCCCTTCCCCCATTTCATGAGTGTTTTTCCCAGAAATCTTGAAATTTGCCCATCACACTCAGTCACAGATCATGTCTGGGTCATATTCTCCATCACTGGTAACTTTAGGGTCTTAACTCTCTTCGATTTTGGGGTGGGGAACTGAGGGATTGGCCTTTGCATTGTTCTGCTTAATGAAATCAGTCTTGATAGTGAAGATGGGAGATGTCAGAATCTTGTGGAGCACTCTTAACTAGTTTCTTTTGACAGTGGGCCATTGTTAGGGGTAGTTTTTGTCTGCAGTTATCTGGCAAAAGATGAAGTTGCTGGTTTTGGGGCACAAGCATTAAACTAGTGTTAGAGCTGAAACATTTCATCTAATTGATCTTTGCCTGAAATCACGTCATTATAATGAATTTGCATAGTATTTTTTTTTCTTTAATCTTTTGGCAATGAGTCCTGCATTAGAGTTGTCTAGGTAAAGCCATTGCTATGACCAGTGTCTGGGGTAGGGGCGGGGGCTATGACTAAGAGTGATAGCAACCCTTCTTGCGTCTGTTTCTTCAAGGCAAACGAATGCACGTGCAGTTGTCCACCAGCCGGCTTAGGACTGCGCCCGGGATGGGAGACCAGAGCGGCTGCTATCGGTGCGGGAAAGAGGGGCACTGGTCCAAAGAGTGTCCGATAGATCGTTCGGGCCGAGTGGCAGACTTTACCGAGCAATATAATGAGCAATATGGAGCAGTGCGTACACCTTACACCATGAGCTATGGGGATTCGTTGTATTACAACAACGCGTACGGAGCGCTCGATGCCTACTACAAGCGCTGCCGTGCTGCCCGGTCCTATGAGGCAGTGGCGGCTGCAGCTGCCTCTGCGTATAATTACGCAGAGCAGACCCTGTCCCAGCTGCCACAAGTCCAGAACACAGCCATGGCCAGTCACCTCACCTCCACCTCTCTCGATCCCTACGATAGACACCTGTTGCCGACCTCAGGAGCTGCTGCTGCTACAGCTGCTGCTGCTGCAGCAGCCGCTGCTGCTGTTACTGCAGCTTCCACTTCATATTACGGGCGGGATCGGAGCCCCCTGCGTCGCGCTACAGCCCCAGTCCCCACTGTTGGAGAGGGCTACGGTTACGGGCATGAGAGTGAGTTGTCCCAAGCTTCGGCGGCCGCGCGGAATTCCCTGTACGACATGGCCCGGTATGAGCGGGAGCAGTATGCGGATCGGGCGCGGTATTCAGCCTTTTAAGGCTTGAGGTGAGAGCGGTGGGGTGTCCCCTGTTCTGGTTTTGCCATCCCTCCTAAAGGCTCCAGTTAGGTTGCCCTGCTTGCTTGCTTTTGTTGGGTTAGGGTAGGGTTACTATCATGGTTCACAGGCTAGGGATAAGTCCTTAACTACCTAACTTTTGAAATACATAAACATCCTTAGCCCTCATGGCTATTTTTCCAGGGCTCCTCATAGTGGGAGTCAATCTGATGCTATTTATCCCTGGAAAAACAAAGAATGGTGTGATGAATCTTGGGTCACACTTATGTGCTGTAATTAAACTGAACCTGGGACCCATATATTCAGACTGAGGTGTGCTGTTTCTCAGAGCCTTTGTTGAAATTCCTAGGTGTGCGACATTATTAAGGTTTGCAGCTTACTGTTCTGCTTCGTGCCATGTGAAAGGTCGGTTATGACCTATAGTAATATAAATTTGATAGTTAACTAGTCATCACTGCTTGGGTCCCAGTTACTATGAAGACTACCCAGTGGCATCATCTTAATCTTGAAGCAGCGTTTTTCTCACGTTCCTGAACAATTCACTCCCTATGAGCTTTATAGAAAAACTCTTTGAAGTTAAGTTGGGACAGAGAGAAGAAAAGGTATCTTAATTTATAAAGCTTTCAACAAGGAGTCTGGGGCATAGACTCAAATCCAACTTCACTCAGCTCAGATTCATTCCCTGAATATAGAGTGTCCACTCCATTGCTCTGTCTTTGAATCTGTCCTATAAGAGCCTGTTTACTTTGTTCAATTTTTTTTTAAACTGTCCCACAGTGTTATGGTGGACATCTCTCCACTTCTTCAAGGTTTATGGTAATACAAATCTGCCATCAACAGCAGGGGTGAGAGATTTGCCTTAAGCAGATCACTCCCTTCATCTTCCCACTAATTACGGGCATTTAATATTCTTGAACCACCAGCTCTACCTTGAGTCCTCTGGCTTTTTCCTCTACTATACATTTTGAGCCTCATGATCCATTGGCTCTACCTGAGTATATTCTTTCTGATGCTTGCCAGCTTTGGGCTCCAGGTGTTTGAGTTTGCTGCTGTATTAAAGGGTGATTCTCAATGCCCTTTGTTTTGGGTAGACCCCAGTTTGTCCTAGACGTTACCTTTGATCCATAATTCAGTAGTGACAGTGTGAATGATATTCTGTTATCTTTGAGTTAAGGCAGAAGGTATGTGAGTTGCCCAGGATTATTGGGTAGGAAATCACTGATAGGGCTGGGAGAGTAACTCGAATGACTTGATATGTAGCTTACACAAGTCCTCCACTACATTCTTTTAATTTCTTCCCTAGGCAGAGTTGGATACCTGTTCAATTGATGCTGCTTTTTCCTAGACCTTTAATCATTTTTAACTTGGACCTTGGCAGTAAACCAAGTTTCAAACATGCTTTTGACTTTTAGACCAGAGAGCTAATTGGAACCTTTCTTTTTTTTCTGCCCTTCAGTGATAATTTGTGATGTGGAAATAACCTTTTCTGAGGAATGGTGATTTTAACATCAAGAGAAATGCATTATCTTTGGTTACTCTCATGAAAAAGTATTTGCTATTTAATTTAGAGAAAGGCCCCAGCCTGGGATTGCTTGACCTTCCCAGTTACTCTCTGACCTCCAAACTCTTTTCATTTTTAGAGGTTATTGTGTATACTGGGGATGGGTACAAGTAAACTTAAAAGGAGTGTCAAGTTACCAGACTTCATAAAGATATTCTTTGAAGTTTTAAGTAGGAAAGCCCTTTTGAGCTTTGCTGTAAAGCCCCTGTATTGTGCTCTCTTTCAGGTGGGATGTGTGTGGGCTGAAATTCCGAGCTGCGGTTGTGCATGAGAATACACCCTTCGTGGTACCCCGTCTCCGGGACGTTCTCGGCTCTGTACGTTCAGTCCCTCAGGAACCGTGGACCTTAATTTACCTTGCTAAGTTCAGACCACCTCTTCCTTTCCTCCCTCCTGCCCATTTTCCTGTTCTTCCTGTTCTTCAGTACTTCTGTAGTTTCCCATTTATGTTCTCTTCTCCCAGCAGGCCTCATTGTGTGCAGAAACTGGTGGGGGTTGTGCTGTCTCCCCGCCTCCTGCTTCCAGTGGGTATTGGACTTGGGAATGACCTTGATGAGAGTGTCACTGCTCCTGAGTCTTTTTGGCCCAAAGGCTTGTGGCGGGTAGACACATAGAGTTGGATAACTTTTTTTTTTTTCCAGTGAAATAAATGGTTTTTCAACTTAGGGTATGTGTGCTTTGAGAGAGTTCTTGCTTGGGCTTGTGTCTGGATTCTTTATTTGTCCCTGGAAGAGAAGGGGAATATAAAAAGTTTGACATTCAGCTCTGGGTGAACATCACTGCAATTACTTTTATTGTAGATAGGACTTAACAGGCACCAAAGGAAAAAAAGATCGTGTGCGGAAGAACTCAGGCAGGTAGTCTTATTCCAGTAAAGACTACTTTAATTGTAGATAGGACTTAACAGGTGCCAAAGGGAAAAAAAGATCGTGTGTGGAAGAAGAACGCAGGCAGGTAGTCTTACTCCAGTAAAGTCTTCCCCCTGTTCGTACACCTTTGTAATTAAACCAACTTACTTACTAGTGGTTTTGGGATGGGAGTTTTTTCCTGTTTGTGAAGCCATCATCATGTACCTCTTACCATTCCAACCACCCAGTCAGTACATTTAGCTTGATTTATTGCCAAGATAGAGTTCTAGGAAAAGGAATCAAAGGAATAGGAGGCGAGCTTTCATTTTTCATGCCATATGGAAAAATAAAGTTGTGGCTCTGTTAGTATTCTGCTGCTGCTTTAGGCCTGTAAAGTAACACTTTTTGATGCCTTTTACCATCTGTTTCTATACCTCTCCCCAAATACAAATCCGAAGTGCTCAATGGTAGCACTAGCACTTCATTAACTTGTACTTAGAGCCTTTAGAATGATAGGCACAGGAAAAGGACCCAGCAGTGAGCTTTTAGAGTATTTAATAATGAGCATAGGGATGAATACAAGGAAGAGCCCTGTCTCTTAGTTCCATACTTCTATCAAAACAGACCATCTTCCAGATCTTTTTTTTGTCTGTACCTTGTTTCCAGTTTTAACATTACATATAGTAGGGTATTTTCTAGAACCATTCATTCAACAAATAGCACCTACTGTGTATGCCTTTATGAAAGGTGGGTTATGGTAAAGGGAGATAAAAAGGATCTGGTTTTTGGTTGGGTGATTTCTCAGATTTTTCTTAAGGCTTCTATCTGGTTCTAATTCATAGATGGCTGAGATGGGAATAGTTATGTATATAACTTGTAATTTACTGAATGTTCTGTTGAAACCCTGTGATTGGTTATGTATGTGTTATTTAATGCTCCAAGCAGCCATTTTTCTGTCCATTGCAATGTTTTAATCCTCTTATCCTCAAAATACAAATAATTGCTGAACATATAGGCTGTGTTTGATTGAGAAGTCTAGTGATGTAGAGTAGTTCCAGGAAAACTATTGGTGGAAATAAGGTGACTAAGGATGAAAAGAGTTATTAGCTCCTACAGATAGGAAGTGGTCAGTAATGAAGATTATGAGTAAAGTTTGGTTACTTTCCTTGCATTTGGCTTTATCTTTCTTGGCTGGGTTGGATTTCTGCCAGTGCCACTTCTTGGAGGGGGTGCCTACTTTGATCCCCTTTTCTCTGAAAAGGTGGACCCATCACTCTTGGGCACTTTTCATTGGTACACCCTTGGTCTAATAGGTGGAGTTGGCAAGTTTCAAAAGGTGGAGACTGACAGTATTCATTGCTTCAGCAAATGATTTGAATGATACTCTGCAAGGTATTGTTGTAGGTGCTGAGTATAGTTCGGTATAGTTCTGGAGCCTAAGGTGTGTGGGGAGAACAAAATAATGTCAAATAGAGACTTAGATGAGAGTAGTGGGAGGAGGCTTTTCTGACGTGATGGTATGTCAGTAGATTAGATATGGAAATAATGTATTTTTGCTTTAAATAAAGCAGGCTGGTTAAAATTTTTAAAAGGAGTCATTTCTGCTTTGAGAGCATGGTCTCCCTGTATGTAATAGATAACCTAAGCAGTTTTTCATGACTCAAAATCTGGGCTAGGTTAATGCTACATTCCTACTGTGCTTTAATTAATTATTTATTTATTTAATTATTACTGCTCCTAATTATTGTTAAAAGGCAAAACACTATTAAAAACAGTGGAAAGTGGATTCTAAAACTATTTAAATTGGACTTGCTGATATTTCAACATTAAGATTTTGGAATTAGTGTTTAAGCTTCCGATCAAGTGTACCTTGAGTTGAGGCAGCAGTCTGCTCTGTGTAACGGACAGAATTAGACTGTTGTTGGTTAGCTCAGGAGTTCTGGGATAGTTTAAGAGTAATGCTTTCATATACTGATTTTTTTGTAGGCTTCCACCATTTCTTCTGTTCAGTAAAGTGTGCTTAGCATCCTCTTGAGAGCTGATTTTGTAGTTCATGAAGTATTTAACTAGTTGCCTACTGTAAGTACACATGTGGAGAATACAAAGATAACTGTCCCCACCTTGCCTCTGCAAGCAGCTTTCTATTTAGGCCTTGGATGTGTAGATGATTGGATCACTCACTGGAAGGTTGGAGTGGAATGGTCCCAGTATTCTGTAGTGTTGGCATCTGGCACAGATCTGACCCATCTAATTCTGGATGGGTCAAAGGACTTAGGAAAGCTGTTTTTAGGGTAATACTGGGGTTTGATTTGGTGTTATACCAAAAGTTTGTTAACTTAGAGTTCTTCCAGGCATCAAACTTGGAGTTGATTTGGATGAATGCCAAATTAAGCCAGACTCCTTAGCCCAGAGCTACCTCAGTACTAAAAGGCTCTAGGTAGAGCATTAGCATTATGGTATTAAGTACTGTTGCAAACTACTGGAGTGAAGTTTACTCAGTACTGATGTTTTCTCTGTGGTCTCACGCTGAGTCAAAAAATTGCCAGAATAATGACAGTGGGAAGTCCCGAGTACTTTGCTGTGGGTTTGGAGAACAGTATAGTCTATATTGAAGGAGAGCAAAGTAGTTACAGAAGGGAATGTCTCCCAAGACAGAATTTTAAAATTCCTGTATTTTATTTTATTTTATTTTTAAAGATTTTATTTATTTATTCATGAGAGACAGAGAGAGAGAGAGGCAGAGACACAGGCAGAGGGAGAAGCAGGCTCCATGCAGGGAGCCCGACGTGGGACCTGATCCTGGGTCCCCAGGATCACTCCCTGGGCCAAAGGCAGGCGCTAAACCACTGAGCCACCCAGGGATCCCCAAATTCCTCTATTTTAATACTTATGAAATTTTTGGTTCATTTGACGAGTGCAGAGCTGAATTCCTAAGTGCGTAGAAAATAAATGAAAAAACTTAAAATGTTTTACCAAAACTTTAAAATAGAATTATGGGGCTCAACCTAGTCGAGATCATGGCAGCACTGATATTTAGTAAAAGAATTGTCAACTAACTAAATTGGGAGAATGGGAAAGTATGGATGGGGGAGTGATGGGATGTGTAAGAGCAAAACTCATTCCATAATAGAAATTAACAATTTTTTTAAAGTGGTAAATGGAGAATATTGACCAACTTGAGTCCCATAAAGGTAAGAACAGCTAAAAAGTTGTTATATCTGGGGAAGATGAAGCTAGAGACTTGAAAGCCTTATACTATTTGTTAAACCATGTTCATGGGTTATTTTGATTAAAAAATAAAAGTTGGGGATGTCTGGGTGTTTCAGTGGTTGAGCGTCTGCCTTCTACTCAGGTCGTGGTCCTGGGATCCCTGCAGGGATCCTGCTTCTTTCTTCGCTAAGGTCTCTGCCTGCTCTTGTCTCTCATGAATAAATAAAATCTTAAAAAAGTTTTGTCATGCTAACAGCTCTTTTCTGTTTAAGCCTGAGATGATGGCTAATCACTCAGTGAACCTTTTAAACTAATAAGAACAGTTTACTGTTCTACAGTGATACATAAAGTAATAAAGTAATATGACTTTATTAACAAGTAAATAGCATCTCTGAGATACGAGGTGGAGATGGTGCTAGCAGTCTATCAAGGAGATAAGACACCAAAGAAGGAAGTACTTAGCTGTTGGTAAGTAAACCTTAAAAGCTGAATTGAGCATTTTATTACTGCTCCTGTTTTGTCTAATTTGTCAGTGCCAACAGGGGAAAACTTAGTACCCTTTTTCTTTGTCCTCCAGGGCTCGTTCTTTAAGGGCTGAGCCTGCTGGTTTCATTCAGTCCTATCCAACATGTTGAATTGTTCCTACTCCATTATGTAGCGAGATGAGAACTCTTAATTTCACTATGTAAGAAATGTTAAAACCAGATGTGAGAGTCTGGAGCTTCCTTATATAGAACTTCCAGACTTAACTATCATCCAGGGTGCTGCAAGAGGAAGGGAGATAGTTTTTACCTGCTGGCTTCAGCTGGAGTAGGGTCTTCTGATTTATTTATAGAGTTGAAATGGTTTGAAGAGCAGGTTTTAGTAGTGAACAAAGACGTTTTTCCTGGAAAGCCTGGGAACTAAGATGCCAAAAAAAATGTTTCCTGTAGAGTTTCCCTATGGTACCATCTATAAAATGCGAGGCCCGGTGAAGACTGGGAACTAGATTTCGAATACCTCAGTTTCGAAAGAAAAAAGTTTTATGGAATGAAACTAATATGAGGTTTTAGGATTATGTATTTAATCAATTCATTTTCCTCGTGTTTTTTATGTTTTTTATTTTTATTTATTTATTTTATTTATGATAGTCACAGAGAGAGAGAGGCAGAGACATAGGCAGAGGGAGAAGCAGGCTCCATGCACTGGGAGCCTGATGTGGGATTCAATCCTGGGTCTCCAGGATCGCGCCCTGGGCCAAAGGCAGGCGCCAAACCGCTGCGCCACCCAGGGATCCCCTTCGTGGTTTTTAATATCAAATTTGAATGCATTTTGATATCCATACTTTAATTAGCACCTTGGTTTTAGTGATATGTAAAGTAATGATGCAACTTAAAGTCAGTGACATTTTGTATTAAATGAAATATGGTTATATTGCATGAACGCAAGTGTATCTGTAAGCTATATATATATATATATATTATTTTTAAGACTTTATTCATGAGAGAGAGGAAGAGACACACAGGTAGAGGGAGAAGCAGGCTTCACGCAGGGAGCCCGATGTGGGACTCGATCCCCGGACTCCAGGATCACGCCCTGGGCTGAAGGCAGGTGCTATACCGCTGAGC